GGGGTCACAGAGTGCTGAGGCGCATGGTATGTAAAAGTCACTAATGCTCTGCTGATTCCATGGCTGAAGAGTTCCGAACATCCACTGCCACTAATATTAGCTCAAATACTGTGTGGTGGGAGCTTCGTGGAATGGGTTTCATGGCCAAGCACTGGAGTCTGGAGCAGTGGAAACATGTTCTGTGTAAGACAAATCAAGCTTCTCTGTTTCAACTCTACTGGATGAAAGGGCACAGAGACATTCCAATATTTTGTGGAAAGCATTCCTAGAAGGGTGGAAGCTGTTATAGCTGCAAAGGGGGAACCAACAACATTTGAATGCCTATGTATTTAGAATGCAAATCATAAAAGTCCCTGTTGTTGTAATGGTCAGGGGTCCCAATACTTTTGTCCATGTAGTGAATAGTGCTATCATATTCCCTCTGAGACACCTTTATTTCTAAAGTAAATAGATTCAGTTTTTGTAGCTCTTCTTCGTGGCCAAATTGTTTACCATATTAATTTTATAGCCCACCTCTTCACTTTTTACAGTTCCACAAGGCATTGGTGAATAACCCTGTATTTAATAGACTAATGGTTGGATATGTCACATAAGTTATTATACGTCGCCACTTTGAACACATCAACGTATGTTATTGGTCACCAGGTATGATGAACGAACCAGTGGTTAACGAACGAACGAACGAACGAGTGGAGAAAAATATTCCCTTCTAGCAGCCAAAATACATTGGCAGAAGGAGGATAATAGTGTTATATATTTCATAAATGTATTATTAAGAACACAATAGGAAGTTCCATGTAGAAATTACCACAATTAGGAAGTTGCACATATAAATACATTCTTTTGTAACCTCTTCAAATAGCACTCCAGTGCATTTTGTGTGGGTTCCATATGACATCAGATTTTCTTTCAAACAATCTTGTTCCCTTGGTGATTGAACCCCCTGTCAGGTTTAAACAGGACTAACTACATACCACCATAAATTAAATACTTTTTTCAGAAGCTACACTTTGTGTCTTAATAATTTTTAAAATAAGGTTGTGGAGACCGCCCGGCTTATTTCATTGCTGCTCCATATAGCTATTTCTAATTGCACTTGCATAAAAATCTATAATTAAAAAGAAAAAATCTGAATGAGAGCACATTAGCATAAACGCAGCAAGGTAGCATTACATGAAAGTCTCTCTATTATTCTTTAACAATCAATCAAGTGAGGGCTGCCAATGGTGTAGGAGGGCAATTACCAGCATAGAAAGCACAGTACTAAACCATGTCATACAATTGTATTCTTTTATTATTGGATTCTAGTTCTTGCAGTATCAGTATAAAACTTTCAGAATAAAATTAACAAAGGGATTGGAATTTACGGAGTTGGTTTCAAATTGGGCTATTTATTGGCAGTTGGCCCCACAGGTCAAAAGCAGCCAATCCGGCAATCAATAGGTTAAAAAGTAGCCAACTGGCTTTCATAGAAATGATTGCAAAGCGAGGTAGATGAGGGTGAATGGAATATAAAGGAGACTTTAGAACAGAGTTTGTGAGGAAATACATCTAGCAGAGTCGAGACATTAGAAGTGAGTGAGTGTTTGATGGCTGGGACAGAAAGTGAGTGAAATTAGACCATGTCGAGGACAGAGGAAGGCGAATATATAAAGGTATTTAATAAGGAACGGGAATTAAGGGCTGCTTGCATGGATAGATGTTTATACAGAGTGCGACAAGAATAAATCAAAGAGAGGATGAGAGGTTAGCATGAAGAGGGGATGAGAGAGGCCAAATCAAGTAAAGAAAGGGGAGGCTTAGTTAGAGGAAGGGGGTTTAGTAATGCATAGAGCAAGATTGACATGGATGAAGGGGGACTAAACTGAGGTAAGGAAGGCTGAGAGTGGGGTGGACACAGAAATTTGTGTGCCCAAATCCATGTTAGAATAGAAAATGGATAGTGCTTACTGCCAAATTGGTCTCAAATGAAATATCAATTTCTAAAACGCTCAAGACGGATCCTTATCATCCTTCAAAAATAGAGG